CTGGAAGCTGCTGACTGTCCCTCGGGCCACACGCTGGGGGTCACAGCAAGTCAGCAGGCCAACCTGGTGTGGTGTGCTGAGGGACAGCTCCAAGGCCGTGTGTGCCAGGGTGGGGGACCCCTCACCACAGGTCCTGTGGGCTCCACCCTGACACTTCCTTTTTCCCATGAGCTCATCCAAACCACGACTTGAGTGACCACAAGCCATGGACTGTGGACGTTTCCCAGAGCTCCAGGCTCATACTCACCCACTTGATACTCACATCTGTTCAAGGGGCCTGACCACCCTGCAGAGAATCGCACAGAAGGTTCTCCATGCCCCAGCCCCACCTAAACACTGAGACTTCCCTCAGTCATCCCCAGCCCAGGAATGGCTCCATCCTTCTCTGGTCACTCAGTTAGGTAAAATAGACAAATGAAAGTTGTCCATGCAGGCTGCTGTAACAAAACACCACAGCCTGGGAAAGTGAAAGACAATAGGGTTTAGGGCTCACAGCTCTGGAGGCTGGAGTACAAGATCCAGAGATAAGTCATAAGTAGAGTTTGTGGGTCTCAAAGGCAGAGGCGGTGGCAGGACCAAAATACTGAATATGCAGGAGATAGTGAGTAAACAGAAGGCCTCAGGGGCCTCAGGGCACTAAACATTGATGATTGCTAAGTACACAAGTGCCACTTAATGTGCAGGATCACTAAATATACAACAGAAAGGCACTAAGTATTCATAGTCGTAAAATATACCAGAGACACTAAATATTCAGGATCACTAAACACATAGGAGGAACTAAATATTAATGATCACAAAATAGGCCGGGCGCGGTAGCTCATGCCTGTAATCTCAGCACTTTGGTAGGCCGAGGAGGGCGGGTCACGAGGTCAGGAGATCGAGACCATCCTGGTGAACACAGTGAAATCCCGTCTTTACTAAAAATACAAAAAATAATAGCTGGGCATGGTGGCGGATGCCTGTAGTCCCTGCTACTCAGGAGGCTGAGGCAGGAGAATGGCATGAACTAGGGGGGGGCGGAGCTTACAGTGAGCGGAGATCGTGCCACTGCACTCCAGCCTGGGTGACAGAGCGAGACTCCATCTCAAAAAAAAAAAAAAAAACAAAGTACACTAAATATTAAATATTCAAGGTGACTAGTTGTACAAGAGGCACTAAATGTTCATGATCATTAACTATACAAGAAGCACTAAATATTCAGGATTGCTAAATTTATGAGAGGCACTGAATACTTATGACCACTATATATACAAGATGCAGTACATGTTAGATGTTAATGATCCCTAAGTATACAAGAGGCACTAAATATTAAGATAAATAAACACGAGGCTTAGGTATCTAGGATGACTAGATATGCAAGAGGCACTAAATATTCAGGACAACACTAAGTATACAATAGGCACTGAATATTCAGGATACGCTAAACAGGCCTGGCTCATTTGAGGCACTCTCGTTGGGATCACCATTCCAGCCCACCTTTCTCTATGGCATGGCCAGGACAGCCTGTGTCTCAGTGGCCACACGTGCCCACCATGGACCCACCACCAGCTGACCCAGCAGCTGACTCATCCTTGATCCTTCCTGACCCTCCATTGACCCTTCCCTGACTCACCACCTGAACTCCTCCCTGACCCCTCCTGACCCTCCGCTGGCCCTCGGTGGGTGGCGAAGGCCCAGAAGCCAGGTCTAGCCTGTTCACCAGATACCTGCTGTCCGAGAAGCCTGGCTCCCACCTCAGCCCCACAGGCCCACCGGCCACAATGCTTTGGGCTAGTTTGTTATCTTGACAGGAGAAACCTGGGCCTGGCAGCCAGTGACCAGTAGGGCCCACTCAGGGCCATGAGTGGGCTGAGGGCACAGCCCACTGGGCAACAAAGATGGTCTGGGGCCCAAGGGCAGCTCCACGAGGGGTGGCTGCTGGGTCCAGGGTCTGGAAGCCAGGTGGTGCCCTGGACTTGGTGTTCCCAGCCGCCTGCGCAGAAGCAGCTGCCACTAGGCAGCAGTGGGACAGATATGGCCAGCATCCCACTGCAGCTGACGCTTGGTGAGTGGCATGCAGGAAACTAGAGACTCTTTCAGGCAGGTCCCAGGCCTACTCTGGCGATCAGAGTTGGGGGCCCTGTGAGATGGGAAAACACACAGACAGGGACAACGGGGATGAGTTCAGTACAACCCACACTGGACAGGGGTCAGAGCAGGTACCCAAAACTACTTTCTTGAAGGACTGGCATCACAAACGCTTTAATGCAGCATCTCAGGAGAGGAAGAAATTGCAGGGAAGGTGGTGGTAGTTTTTTATGTTTTGTTTTCTTTTTAATTGGAAGACTCAAGCATTTTGGTGTTGAGCCATGTAGGAACTGACCAGCTGGGGCTGGGGAGAGACCCACGGCCAGAAGAGGGGAGGAGAGGGATGTGGAACACGGCTGAGTCAAGCTGCGTTCTGCAAAACTGCAAGCTCTCTCTGTGGGTTACTCCTGAGGCTGGCTTCAGCTGCATTCTCCCTCTGGGACATATCTCCTTTTCTCTTCTTCCTCCATAAAGTGCCTGCCCATAGGGGTGTGTGAAGTGTCAAGAGTAAACTTCCAGAGAAGGTGGGTGCATACTGGGAATGCAGTGGGCAGAGAAAGGTCACGATGCATCCACAGGAAGACAGCCAGCCCTGTGGAGATGAGCTGCCCACAGCCACCAACAGGACCCTCTTCTCTCCACAAGGTCCCCAAGTTATGGCTGCTGCTGCACCAAAGGCAGTCCCTGCTGCCCCTCTTTATACCTGGGGTAGGCCAGTAGCATCCTGGAAAGCACTAGAATGGGCCTCTCTCCTCTTGGGCATCTGGTCTCCCCTCCCCGCAGCCCTTCTGGGACCCCAGGCTTTCTTGCCTTTCCTTTCTGTTCTCCTGGTTACGGGACGATTTGGTACACATTCGTGTATTAGGTTCAGATTTTTAAAAAAATTGAATAGTGAAATTCACAAGACACACAATGTACCATTTTAAAATACACAATTCAGGTGCATTTAGTACATTCACAATGTTATGCAGTTACCACCTTTGTCTAGTTCCAGAACATCCTCATCACCCCTAAAGGAAGCCATCCCCACTAGGCAGGCACTCCCTTCCTCCAGCCCCTGACAGCCAACAGTCTGCCTTCAGTCCCTATGGATTTGCCTGTTCTGGACATTTCGTATCAATGGACTCAGACAATCTGTGGCCTTTGTATCTGGGTTACTTCACTGAGCATGTTGTCAAGGTTCATCCCTGTAGTAGCATGTCAGTGCTTCATTTCTTTTGAATGACTGAATAATATTTCATTGTGATTGGATAGACCCCAATCTGCTTACCCATTCCTTAGTTGATGGACATTTGGGTTGTTTCTACCTTCTGTATTTCATGAATAATGCTGCCATGAGCATTTGTGTACATGTTTGTGAATAAATGTATATTTTCATTTATCTTGGGTACATATACCTAGGACTGGAATTGCAGGACCATACGGTGATGTCTTCTTTATGTGAGAGTCTAATGAAGCTGCGTGCTCCATTACAGGTTCATGCCTGTAATCCCAGCACTTTGGGAGGCCAAGGCGGGCAGATCACCTGAGGTCAGGAGTTTGAGACCAATCTGACCAACAAGGTGGTGAAACCCTGTTTCTACTAAAAATACAAAAATTTGCCAGGCGTGGTGGCAGGCGCCTGTAGTCCCAGCTGCTTGGGAGGCTGAGACAGGATAATTGCTCCAACCCTGGAGGCAGAGGTTGCAGTGAGCTGAGATCTCGCCACTCCACTGAGATCATACCACTGCACTCCAGCCTGGGCTACAGAGATACTCCATCTCAAAAAAAAAAAAACCAAAAAACAAACAAACAAACAAAAAACAGCCAGGCATGGTGGCAGGCGCTACTTGGGAGGTTGAGGCAGAAAAATCACTTGAACCCAGTAGGCAGAAGTTCCAGTGAGCCGAGATCACTCCACTGCACTCCAGCCTGGGACACAGGGCATGGCTTTATCTTAAAAAAAAATGAAAATAAAAATGAAAAAGAGTCTAATGAACTTTCTTTTACTGAAGCAGGCAGCACTGGGTAATTTACTACATTTCTGAATCGGATAACCGGATAGAGAACCAGATCTTAGACCAAAGCTGTCCAGTGGAACTTTCTGTGATGCTGGAAACATTCTGTATCTGTGCTAACATGGTATCCACTGGCCACATGTGGTTAAGATGACTGATGAACTACATTTTGTATTAAATTTTAATTATCTGAAAATTAAATAGCCTGTGTGGTTCGTTGCTGTGTGTGAAACACCACAGCCTCAGAGATAACAAACGCAGTGCTACCCCAAAGTAGCCCTCCCACTACGCTGCCTCCCCCTTCACTCCATTTGAGTACCTTTTACAAAATCTGGAAATCCATGGTGATAATCAAAACACTTAAAGCCCCCAGACCCTGCAAAAACCTTAAATACCATTAAAGTGTATTTGAAGAGATAGAGTGACCTACATAGATATAAATACATAAAGATAAATTTCAACTGAAAATGAAGGCTTTCACAAGAAAAATAATGAAAAGAGCTCTGAAGGCTACTTCCTTTCCTGGCCAGTCCTTGCAGTTTTGTTTTACTGAAATGCTGCCCACTCATGACACACACTGTGAATATTGTGCTTTTTAGATCCACACTGTTGGAGCAGCTGCTTACCAATTTTTGGTTCAAATAGTTTCATAGCACTGGGATATTTTCTAAAGACACGCAGATTTGTGGTTAGCTGGTGTCCAGGAAGGCGACTTGAGTAGACCCAATTTTAATAGGGTAAATATAAATTATATAATATTCCTGAATCATTTTACTGGCCTATATTTGTTATTACAATAAATAATAATTGCTAATTACCCTGATCTGATAATAAATATATTCAAAATATCACTATGTACCCCATGCAATATACAATTGTTAGGTGTCAATTAACTAAATACTATCACATTGGGGATTAAAGAAAAAAACAAAGTAGGAATCATTCATATTTTGAGAAATAGATTAATGAAAACTGTACAGATAACAACAGGAGAGTAACACTTTCTGAGCTCTGATTTTGTGGCAAACATTTTTTAAGGGATTATAATGGATTAAATCAATGAACCTCTCTCCTCCAAGATTTAGAGGTTATTAACACAGCCATTTCAGTTAATTTGCCTGGAGGTCTCCGACCCTCTTAAACCCTCCTTTTTATAAGGAAAAATGTAGTTACAAACAGTTATTTTCCTCAAGTCCACATGTGTCATCATTCATCTGGTTCTAACAATACTCATTGTAAATTTGCTTAACTCGCAGATTTAGTTTTCCTTTTCAGAATCAGTGTACAAATTATTTTGTTCTGATTTTAGCAATCAATTTAAGCGGATCTTTGATTAATGTTTGACCAACTGGAATTAAACAAACTAAATTCCTTTAAATAATTATCCTATTCCAAATTAAGTCTTCTTAAAAGGTTTATACTTTTCAGCATCTACTAATCTGGTTCCTTTTAAGTACTGAACCTTTCCTCATGACCTTTAGAATTCCCAGCCAAATAGATTAAATCTTAACCCTGGTGGAGCTCACATTGTTAAAACTTAGCAATTTAAATAGAAATCCATAGACTCACTCTTCAGAATTAAAGTGCAAACTACTTAGAGATCATAAATACTTTTAATATCAGATAAATCATTAAGAAATTGCATTCTGTACTCGACGACCACACTGGAACCTTGCCGGAGTCAAGAGAACTTGTCACTAGTAATTATGAAGACACCTTTACGGTGAGCGTATTAAAACCCCTACCAGAGGTTTTCGATGGGACTCAAGAGCAAGGAGTAGCCACCTGTGGGCGAGGGTTCCTTGCTGTTAACAGAACACGTTGCCCACCAGGCGAGTATGCGACCCAATCAGTCTCCAGGGTCTCGGTTCCCGTTGCGCCCTTCCCCGTGGCCACTGGGCTCATTCATGAGCCTAGGGTGATCAGGACTCCGTCCTATAAAGAACTGCAGGCTCAGTGAGGCTCTTTTCTCGAGATGGTGGGTGGCTCTGAAAAGAGCCTTTATGTCCATCAAAGGGGCCCCGGGGGCAGCGGGCGGCCTCACTTGCCCTTGGCCTTGTGGTGGCTCTCCGTCTTCTTGGGCAGCAGCACGGCCTGGATGTTGGGCAGGACGCCGCCCTGCGCGATGGTCACGCGGCCCAGCAGCTTGTTGAGCTCCTCGTCGTTGCGGATGGCAAGCTGCAGGTGGCGCGGGATGATGCGCGTCTTCTTGTTGTCGCGCGCCGCGTTGCCGGCAAGCTCCAGAATCTCGGCGGTCAGGTACTCCAGCACCGCGGCCAGATAGACCGGGGCGCCGGCCCCCACGCGCTCGGAATAATTGCCCTTGCGGAGCAACCGGTGCACTCGGCCCACGGGGAACTGCAGCCCCGCGCGCGATGAGCGCGACTTGGCCTTGGCGCGCGCCTTGCCGCCCTGCTTACCGCGACCGGACATTTCCGATTCAAGGGCAAAAGACAACAAGAATCCAAAAGCGAGACCGAAAACAAGAGGGAAGAGAACTCCAGCGAGCCCTTATCTATGGTAAGGAGGTAGGCTAGACCGCGGAGTTCGATTGGATGGCTATGGTAGCCAATCAGAAAAAGAACCTGGCACTCCTAATTTGCGTATTTCTTTCCCAGCGATGACGTAGAACAACGTTTGATCCAATCAGAAGTGAGCAAATCCTGAGCCTTCATTTGAATACAAAACGTACAAATAGAGTTACTCCGAGCGCTGCGCGTTTTTTTGGAGAGACACAGCCATCATGCCAGACCCGTCCAAATCGGCTCCTGCGCCCAAGAAGGGTTCTAAAAAGGCCGTCACCAAGGCGCAGAAGAAGGACGGCAAGAAGCGCAAACGCGGCCGCAAGGAGAGCTATTCTATCTACGTGTACAAGGTGCTGAAGCAGGTGCACCCCGACACCGGCATCTCGTCCAAGGCCATGGGCATCATGAACTCCTTCGTCAATGATATCTTCGAGCGCATCGCCAGCGAGGCCTCCCGCCTGGCGCACTACAACAAGCGCTCCACCATCACGTCCCGCGAAGTGCAGACGGCCGTGCGCCTGCTGCTGCCGGGCGAGCTGGCCAAGCACGCTGTGTCCGAGGGCACCAAGGCTGTCACCAAGTACACCAGCTCCAAGTGAGGCGTTTCCCGGCGTCCTGAACCCAAAGGCTCTTTTCAGAGCCACCCACACGATCGAGAAAGGGTTTCGAACACGGTGAAGGGTTATGTAACCTAATATGTCTCCATGCGCCCTAGCGGTTGCCGGGTGCGGCCGAATCTGAGCCTCCTCTGTGTGTGTGTGTGTGTGTGTGTGTGTGTGTGTGTGTGTGTGTGCGCGCGCCGGCAGAGAACGAGAAAAACTGCTCATTACAGAAATTGGGGTAGAAACAGTGCTCAGGTGATGTAGCTCAGTAATGTTGGGAGCCAATCAAGGACCCCCTCTCCACCCCCTCCCTCCGCGCGGACATATTAACACGCGACGAGACTTTTTGTGTTTTTTTTTGAGACGGAGTCTGCTCTGTTGCTAGGCTGGAGTGCAGTGGCGTAATCTCGGCTCACTGCAACCTCCGCCTCCTGGGTTCAAGCGATTCTCGTGCCTCAGCCTTACGAGTAGCTGGGATTACAGGCATGGGCCACCACGCCTGGCTAAATTTTTGTATTTTTAGTAGAGACGGGGTTCCACCATGTTGGCCAGGATGGTCTGGATCTCCTGACCTGTTGATCCATCCGCCTCGGCCTTCCAAAGTGCGGGGGTTACAAGCGTGAGCCACCGCGCCCGACCCCAAATGTCTTTTATAAGCAAGTGGTGCATTCTTGGATGTTGAGCGCTTGCGCCCGGTTCAGGACCGGGTCCAACTGAGCTTGGCGTGCGCGGTGCACGTGAGCGGTGCGGGTCACCTCCCCCAGAAAGACCCTGTGCCAACCTCCCCATCCCTACCCGCACCCCATGGGTGAGGCCAGACGTGGCGCAAGACCACGGGCTCTGAGGCCATGGGCGTTGTCACGTTCCCCTGGCGGTGGTGCCTGGCTCTGCATTTGCTTAAGACTTCCATCCCTGCCTGGACCAGAGAGACATACTTAGATTTAAGTGATGAACATTCCGGGAGGATATTTTCCTGGCAGGATACTGCGATAGCAGGATGTTTGATACCGAATCGAAGCGCTGCGTCAAAGCAGCGCCCTGCTCTGGGGAGCCGGATGTAATAAGCGACCCCAGCTGCCGGTAGCTTTAACCCTTATGGGAGTGGGGGTGGGGGAAGGGTTAATTCAGGAGGGAAAGAACTCCCTTTTTCTGAGCAAATGTAGCTGCCTCCCTCTTCTACCACATTGTTTTCTGCAAGGCGTTAGCAACACAGAATTCCTTTCCTACCCCCTCCAAATTCACAGCATTTATTTGGGGACTGCCATTTTGGCGCAGGAAAGCTCTTTGGCACGAACAGTTTTCGCTCTGGAAAGGGCATTGTTTACGTTTTCATGACTTGGCTTTTCTTGTTTGGAAAAAGGAGATTTCCAGTAATTGCTTCCCCAAACCATTGTGAAAATTCGAAGTATTGAGCGTTTGTGTCACCGTTTCCAGCAGGGAGTAAAAATTCAATAAAGCTAAATGAGAATTTTTTTTTTTTTTTTTTTTTTTTTTTTTTTTTTGAGACGGAGTCTTGATCTGTCGCCCAGCCTGGAGTGCAATGGCGCGGTCTCTGCTCACTGCAACCTCCGCCTCCCGGGTTCAAACGATTCCCTTGCTTCGGCCTACGGAGTGGCTGGGACTACAGGCGTGCGCCACCCACGCCCAGCTAATTTTTGTATTTTCAGTAGAGAAGGGGTTTCACCATGTTGACCAGGATGGTCTCGATCTCTTGACCTCGTGATCCACCCGCCTCGACCTCCCAAAGTGCTGGGATTACAGGCGTGAGCCACTTCTCCCGGCCGAGAAATAATTTTTTAATAAAATTAAATGAAAACTATTTTTTCCCCCCAAGTCATCTCTCCAAAGGGAAGGCGTCGTGTGCCTGGGATGCGGAAGGAAAGGTCAATGTGAACATCCTCGACCAAAACGGCTTTGTCCACTACTCCCCACCTTTTTTCCTGCGTGGTTCCTCTAAAGAATCTTTGAGAACCTTGCATAATTTAAAGCTATCTAAAATATTTTTATTTACAATTAAAATAGTTGCAAAGATACAAATATCAATATGGGACTTTTTAAAAATCAAAATTCTCACATCAGTCTTAAGGTGCCTTTTGGAATATCAATATGATAGTATAATTAATTCATAAAATACATGACCAAATTTTTCTTTGACAATGAGAAGTTTCAGATGATTTTTTTCTTCCTGAATGCCTATTTCTATTCTCCATTTGCCTTACAATTTCACCCTACCATAATATATCTATTGTATGTTTAATGGTGTTTTGTCTATTATCGTTCTCTGCAAAAAAGTCTACACTGAAATTTAAACTACCTCTGGGTAGTCTCTCAGTATTTTAGAAAAATCATCTCGACAGTACACAATTGTTCAAAACATAAATAATTTGATAGATTATTATCAAACAGATAAACTTTTAGTGAAACTGACTCTTTTAATGAGCATCTACTCTTCTCCTCCCCTTTCCACCTCAGTGACTGCATGCATGCAGTGTTCATATGGTTACAGTGTTAGCAGAGCATGGGATCATTTCCATATGGTTACAATGCTAGCAGTGCACGGGCTCATTTCCATTCTGTTTTGTTTTGATATATGTTCCAAAAAAATTTAGAAAAAATGCACAGGAACAGCAACTTTGTCATAGGCATTTTATTCCATTCTTTGCATCCCCAGTTATAATCCAAATAATAAACAGTGATCCATCATCAAAAGTAAGTGGGACTTATCAACACCCTTAGTATTTTCAAGAAATATAGAATTTGTATGAAAAGCTATTGAATCCAGTCCTCTCCACTATGAAACAGGTGCCCAATGACTGGAACATCCAAGCCCTCAGCCTCCTGTCAGCATGGATTGGAAGTCAATACCTTAAACATTTGCAGCTGTGAAATTACTTTCACAGATCCATATAGTTCTCCACCTTAAGGAACTTAAAACATAGGTTTAATAAAGTGAAACCAGTCTCCAGCAGAGAAAGTGAATGATTGTGTTAGCACAAGGCAACAACGCTGGTTGGTGCCAGAGATCAAATCAAGGCAGAAGATGAACATTTCATGACCATTTCCAAGTGTAATTCTCTAAGAAGGCATTTTGTGATGGATAATGTAAAACGTCAGTCAATTCATATCTCAGTCCTTCTGATTCCCCTGACACAAACTTGAAGTAAAAACAGGCTGTCTGTCTCTTCCTGCTGCGTTAGCACCCCCAGGCCCAGAATGCATGGGATTTGTACCTCTCTCCCAGGACAGGAATCTGTTAAGGGGGAGGCAAAGAAGGTAAAACAGGATCCCTGCTACTGAGATTTTATAATGGAGAAAATTCAGAGCAATTGTGTCCAGAACCCATTTCTCTAATTATAGTGTTAAAACGGAGAAAGACAAATGTTAATGATAAACGGAGTGCACATCAAATATGTCAGAATCCACGGGAATTAGGACCCACTCAACAAAATGGAAGCATTTTCTGGGTTGGAGAGACATGCCAAGATTCTCAAACTAAGCCAGATTTTTAAACTAAGGTTCCTATCTCACCTATCTGAGATGAGTGAGTGACAATCACTGAAATACATGTCAGATTGTATGCCTACAAAATCCCTCCAGACTGGCATACAATCTGAAATGTATTTAAGAGATTGCCCCTCACCCATATCAGATGGAAATTTCAAGTCAGATTGGCTAATTATTATGCAGTAAATAAAATAATTTGGATGGAATCATCTCCAATTAAAGCGACTTTGATTAAAAAAACAAAAAATAACATGTTGGTGAGAACGCGGGGAAAGGGAATGCTTGTACACTGCTGATAAGAATGTAAATCAGTACAGCCACTATAGAGACGAGTATGGGCATTCTTAAATAAACTAAAAACAGACTTACCATATGATCCAGCAACCCCACTGCTGGGTATATATCCAAAATAAAGGAAATCGGTATATCAAAGAGATGTCTGCAGTCTCATGTTCATTGCAGCACTATTTATAATAGCCAAGAAAGAGAGTTAACCTTAATGCCCATCAGGAGATAAATGGATAAAGAATATGTGGTATATTTACACATTCAAATACAATTTGGCCATAAAAAAATAATGAAATCCCATCATTAGCAGCACCATGGATGGAACTGGAGGACATTATATTAAGTGAAACAAATCAGGCACAGAAAGACAAATACTGCATGATCTCACTCCTACGTGGGAGCTAAGAACATGGGTCTCACGGAGGTAGAAAGTTGATTACTGGTTACCAGAAGCTGGGAAGAGTGGTAGGGAAAGGAGGAGATGAAGCCAATCAATGGGTACAAAAATACACTTAGGAGAAATAGTAACATCTAGTGTTGGTTAGAAAAGTAGGGTGACTGCAGGTAACAATAATTAGTTGTATTGCTGGAGGAGAGGAATTGGAATGATCTCGACCTGAAGAGGGGGTGAATATGATGACGGATGTCCCAGTTGCCCTGGTTTGATTGTTATGCCTATGCATATATCAAAATATCGTATGTATCCCCCAAATATGTACAATTATTATGTACTACTAATAAAAAAGCTTATTGCTCTGAAAAAGTGCTCTAAAAAATAAAGCCTAGGACGGGCGCGGTGGCTCACACCTGTAATCCCAGCACTTCGGGAGGCCGAGGCAAGTGGATTACGAGGTCAGGAGATCCAGATCATCCTGGCTAACACGGTGAAACCCCGTCTCTACTAAAAATACAAAAAAATTAGCCGGGCGTGGTGGCGGGTGCCTGTAGTCCCAGCTAATCGGGAGGCTGAGGCAGGAGAATGGCCTGAACCCAGGAGGCAGAGCTTTTAGTGAGCCGAGAGTGCCACTGCACTCCAGCCTGGGCAACAGAGCGAGACTCCATCTCAAAAAATAAAAAAAATAAAAATAAAATAAAAAAATAAAACCTATTTACAAAAAGAATTTGGAGGAAAGAAAACTCCCTTTAAGAAAAAACTAACCCAAGAAAATTGATATACTTTACGAGACCATAGAGGTTAAATGCTGATAAATGCTTGGCTGTCATTGTGTTGGGGGTGTGCAGTGGGAACTGAGCCTGGAATCTGAATCCTAATTCCAGGCAACGTTTCTGCTTAGAGGGTGGTTGGGGTGACACAGGTACGGGGTATTTTTAGGGAGAGGACAGCCTGGGCCCCAGTCAGGCCTGCATGCCTTAGTTTTTATTTAATGTGTCATCCAGAGATCATACTTATTTTGCCTATGATTTGCTGGAATTTTTTAAAAAAGCACTATATTTGCATTATTCAAAATAATCTTTCACTGTGCATTTTGCGTACACACACATACACACACATTTTTGGGATAAAATACCAGAATCCCTTAATTGGGGAAATTTTAACTAAGTGATAAGGAGATATGTGAGCCTGCTGTTTTGATGTTTCAAGCAGGAAGGCGTGGCATAAAGAGCTGCTTAGGCGCAACGCCGCTGAAAAGGTTTTGGCTAGAAGCTCACGGTGTCTAGTTGTGGCTAAGGAGGGAGGAAAGGGGCGGGAGAAGGACGGACCCAAGCACCCGCACCCAGATGGCGCGACAACCCCCTCACCCCCAACCCCGGACCTCAGTGAGCACGTCCTCCAGTCTCAGCCACCAGGAGGCACTGGGGGAGGGGAAGTGGCACAAGATCTTCCTGGAGGTGACCCACGCTCCTCACGCGCAGGGCGTGCGCCACACACAGATCTTTGGATAGGATCCATGGTTCAATCTCCTGTACTGCGCCCTCTCTGACTTTGCCTGTGGCCAAGAGAAGACGAACGCAGCCTTTCTAAGGGAAATGCGCCATTACAGACGGGAAGCCTAGTTTTATCTCTAAGACTTGCGCCTCCACAACTCACTCTACCTTCCCCCGTTACTCCAGTTAAATCACAGGTCACAACCAGACCAGGTGGCACGCTCCTTTTTGAGCTTGGAGGTGGCTCTGAAAAGAGCCTTTGGGTTCGGGGCGCCGGGAAACGCCTCACTTGGAGCTGGTGTACTTGGTGACAGCCTTGGTGCCCTCGGACACAGCGTGCTTGGCCAGCTCGCCCGGCAGCAGCAGGCGCACGGCCGTCTGCACTTCGCGGGACGTGATGGTGGAGCGCTTGTTGTAGTGCGCCAGGCGGGAGGCCTCGCTGGCGATGCGCTCGAAGATATCATTGACGAAGGAGTTCATGATGCCCATGGCCTTGGACGAGATGCCGGTGTCGGGGTGCACCTGCTTCAGCACCTTGTACACGTAGATAGAATAGCTCTCCTTGCGGCCGCGTTTGCGCTTCTTGCCGTCCTTCTTCTGCGCCTTGGTGATGGCCTTCTTGGAGCCCTTTTTAGGAGCCGGAGCCGCCCGCGATGGCTCCGGCATGGCGGGGTGACAAGAGCTCCTAGACGAACGCGGACGCGAGGCGGGCAGGGCTATTTGCCATCTTTATATTCAAATGAAGGCTCCAAATCTGTAGGGTCTGATTGGACGGCCTGATGCCGAGGCCGCCACCGGGAGGAATTTATGCAAAGAGGAGAGTCCGGTTCTTCTTTCCTATTGGACGGTGGTCCAACCAATCCCAAGGCATATCCGCCGCGCACAGGAGCTGAGGTTGCGCATCTTTGTTCAAAGCCTTTGTTTTAAACCTGGAGATTTTTGTGTCCTCAGCGGATCTGGACGTAGCTAAAAAGAAACTGAAAAACGGTTTCAACCCCAAATTGCAGTCTTCTCTGGCTGTGAGGCACATACATGGGGGCATTTTTTTTTCCTGAGGCACACAGCTAAGGAGTGGTAGTTAGTGCTTATTTAGAAGGGGAGGTGGGGGTAGGAATGGCAGTTTGCAACGACCTTAACCCTTCATATCTTGCCCTTCCCTCCATTCCTCCAAAGATCAAAGGGATGCATTCCTCTCAGAATTCAATTGTAAATCCAAACGGTTCGTTAGGAAATACAGAAAATAGTACAGAAAACATACAAACGTACTTAAATTGGAATTGTAGTCATGAGGCAGAGTTTTAACTGGAGAAAGAAATTGAATGGTTTTCAAATGAAACCTAGTCCTTTCTACTGTTTTTAAAATCCCCCCAAACCCCTTTGAAGTGACAGCCATAATGCAAAGGGCTTGCTATGGGCGATCTCATTTGTTTCCCAGTGTCCCCGAGAGGTGGGTACTGTGATTGCTTGCGATTACCCGTCAGAGGGCAGGCTTATGGAAGGCACTGTCTCCTAGCTGCGCCCCACTCCCCGCCACTATATTAACTCCCAATGAAGAAACGTAAGGTGTTGTGTATTTCAGCTTCAACGGAAGAGCTGGTTAAAAAAGCAGAATCTCGGGCCCACTCCAATCTGATTGAGTCAGAATTTGCCTTTTAAAAAGACTTGTGCGCACTTTACAATTTGAGAAGCCCTAGTCCAGAGGTCATTTATCTGCCCTAGCTGGGGCAGATAATTTACCTCTCCATACCTCCATACACTCATCTGTGAAATGAGGCTGCCAGTGCCCACCTGATAGCGTTGCTGAGCATTAATGAGTGTGAAGCAGTGGGCAGAGTGCCCAGCATCTGTTTTGTGCTTAATTCCTGTTAGCGCCTTTCCTTCTTAGGACTGATCCAGCCATAAGCAGCTTGGGCTACCTCAGCAGAGCGTGCTCTATGCCCGGGGCAGATCTATCACATAAATATGTAGCACGAACCTTTCTCTCTCACCAGCATGCTGACTGAGCTTAATTCACAGGGAAGGATGTGGCTTTCATGTCTGAGTCTCCAGAGCACAGAGTGTGGCACCCAGCAGGGGCCCAGTCAGTATTTGCTTGTGAATAAGCCTGTGAGCTGAGGCAGTGCCTTCTACATTCAAGTCTGTCCTCTGAGGTCTTCTGGGCATCTTGAGACTGTGGGTTCCCTGAGTGGCTTTGGGCATACCCAGCATTAAGCACTTTATCTGTTTCCTTTTGAAGTATGTGGTTGATTTAACAAGCATTTCTAGAGTGCTCACTGAGAGCTGGCTAGGTAACCATTTAATAAATACTTGATTCAATTTAGTTCTCAAACAGCCCTTCGACTAAGATTCTCTGCTTGACCAAACTCTGGTCAGGCTCCAGAACCTCCTTCTGGGTCCATCTGTGCACTTTCTTGTGAAATCCAGTTTTAGGAAGAGCCCCGCTAAGTCAGTTTAATCAGAACCCCTGATTCTGAATATCTGATCACCCTCTGTGCTATCTGATGGGGTACCTCATCCTCCATCCCCAGGTGATGTCTGATCACTCTGCCTGCCTCCAGCAAGAGCCCTGTGAAGTTGGTTTACCCAGAATCCCCCTCACCCCTGATGTCTTCTTCTTCTTCTTTTTTTTGAGATGCAATCTTGCTCTGTCACCCAGTAGCACAATCTCAATTCACTGCAACGTCCGCCTACCGGGTTCAAGTGATTTTCCTGCCTCAGCCTCCTGAGTAGCTGGGATTACTGGCATGCATGACCATGCCAGGCTAATTTTTGTATTTTTAGTGGAGACAGGGTTTCGTCATAAAACTGCTGCCCTCGAGTGATCCACCCTCCTCAGCCTCCCAAAGTGTTGGGATTACAGGCATAAGCCACTGTGCCCGGCCCGGCCCTGATGTCTCCTCTTAATACTGTTCTATCCACTGATCTACCCTACTCCTGTCTATACATTTCCACTTGTCAGTGCAGTACTCAGAGTTGAGCCCAGTTTCTCTACCCTGCTGCAGAATCCCACTGCAATGGTCCTAATCCTACTCCATCATCCTGAATGAAATCTTCCTCACCATGCTTTAACAAGTGTTAATATATATACATATATAGCACTGCTTGCCTTGGTCCTGCCAGCCCAGTGAGAAGCTGGTCTTCCCACCAGGTTCTTACTAAGGCTTCCTGGCTTCCTACTGGTATGGGAAGGTTTGAAACAAAACTTGGAGTGGGACAGGAGGTGGGCATTCTGAGGACTTTGGGTAAGAATATGTCTTTCAGGTGCTAAGATTTAGGATTTTCTCTGCCCACCATCTGGCGGCTGCTTGGTGGTGTCAGGAAATCTGTCCTGGTTCTCATGGGTGATTGCTAGGGACTCAAAGTCTGTGTTCCCTCCAAATTTCTAGGTTGAAAACCCCCATCCTCCGGGTGATGGTGTTAGAAGGTGGAGCCTTTGGGGGATGATTAGGTCATGAGGGTGGAGTGGCATGGTAGGATTCCTGCCCTTATAAGAAGAGACACAAGACAGCTGGCTTTTCTCTTTCTCTCTGCTGCAGGGCCCAAGGGAAAATCTTTCCCATTACCCTCTGAAGGTTCACTAAAAATCAGCTGACAAAAGGCAGATTAAAAGAGAAAAGGCATACACATTTATTTGATCATAGTTTTGTGTGACACAAAATCCCTCAGAATGAATACAGAAGAAGCTGTCTATTTTAATGCTTAGGTTCAACAAAATTTGGACTGCTATGTAGAAATAGGATCAGGCATGATCTACTGCTAATACACTGAGTGAGGATATCCAGCAAGGCCTGTCTGTCTAGATTCTTCTTGGCCTCTCTGCATGGCATTCGTTCCTCTCGGGTATGAGATAGGACCCTCTGTGAAATGGGAGTCTTATGACCTACAACCAAACAAGGTGGCCCAGAGAATTTATGGTCAGCATTTGCACAGAAAGGCAGGAGTTAGAGTAATATTTTTAGGATTTGTGTCTGGCTTTGGGGAAAAAGGGGTTGTGGTTTTTATGACCTGCCTTGGGGAAGAGGGATTCTAGTTTCTATGGCCAGTCTGGGGGAGAATGGGACTGAGATAGGAAGGCAGGAGATCAGAGAAAGTTTTTTGCTTCTGAGGTCTTCATTTTAGGATATCGCTTTCTAGCACCATGTGAGGACACAGTGAGAAGGTGACTAGGTGCAAACCAGTAAGAGTGACCCCACAAAACCCAACCCTGCTGACACCCTGATCTCAGACTTCTAGCCTTGGATAATCAGCACTCTTTGGGGGAAAATAATGACACAAAATGTATGTATTGTGTAATTGTAATGTGCAATTTGTATTAAATGTCTTTTTTATTTTTATTTTTATTTTTTAGGTGACAGGGTCTTGCTCTGTTGCCCAGGCTGGAGTGCAGTGGTGGGATTCATAGCTCACTGCAGCCTCAAACTCCTGGGTTCAAGCTATCCTCCTATCTCAGCCTCCTGAGTAGCTGGGACTATAGGTGCATGCCACCATGCCTGGCTAATTTTTTTTTTTTTTTTTTGGTAGAGACAGGGTCTTTCTATGTTTCCCACACGGGTCTCTTTTCTCCCAAAGACTTTGATGAATTTCTGTTGTTTAAGTCTCCCCTTCTGTAGCATTTTGTTAGAACAGCCTGAGCCAACTGAGACAGTGTCTTGGATCAAGACCAACATGATGTATTGGCAGATGGACACTATGGAGTAAACTTGAAGCTTTCCTCATGTGAAGAAAAGAAGGAAAAAAGAAGAGAGGGAAGGAAGGAAAAGAAAGAAAGAAGGAAAGAAAGAAAGAAGAGGGAGAGTTGGGGAGACAGAGGGAGGGAAGGACAGGGAAAGAGAAAGAAAAAAGAAAAAGAAACAGTGGCCTCTAGCTTAGTGACTGGGTTTAGGTGATTAAGAAAAATAATAAACACCTTACCGCTGCCCCTCGCACTTCTTTAATGGTTCTAGAGTACAGTACCTGGGCTGGAAGCCAGTCTAGAAATGTGTTGAATGAGTAACTGAATGCATGAAATCAGCCCATCTTTACACGTTAGATTTTTGTGCAGCTCTGGATGATGTATCCTTCTCTACTAGGATAAGGGGTTCCTGCAGTGAGCGTTTTCCCCACCAGTCAAGAAGCCAGTTCCCTTTAAGTCTCACAAACAAGCATTTAACACAGGCAGGGCATGTTTGCTGAGGCCTGTAATCCCAGCACTTTGAGAGACCCAAGCAGGTGGATCCCTTGAGTCCAGGAGTTTAAGACCAGCCTGGGAAACACAGTGAGACCCCGTCTCTTTTTTTTTTAAGCATTTAATAAAATTGCACGTTGCAATGGTAAATGTACATGCTCCATCCAGACCCCACCGGTAGGGTGGGATCTGTGTGGGGGACAGTAGTCTGCAGATAGAGAGAGGACAGGCTTCTAGGCTTCCCAAGGACTAGAGGGAACCTTGTGGGATTTAAAGCAGGAGGAACTGGGGGTGGCTGGAATGATAGGGTGTGCTGTGGAGTTCTGCAGGGAACTCTGGGGCCTCCCGTAATGCTTGCAGGATTGCAAAGAAGGAAAAAAGGGTTTGGGCAGTCTTGCACTTCGCAGGGCTTCCAGTTGACAGCCTATGGACAAAGGCCTTCCTGCCACAGCCAAGGTGCGTTTCTATCAGGGGCGACTCCTGGGGCACCTGAGGGCAACCTCCTCCCGGCGCGCCCCCACCCTGC